CTTGGTGACTCATGAATAAATGATAAAAAATTGTGGAGAGGGGAGAGTTGTGGGGAGAATTGTGGAGAGCAACAGAATTGCTACAACAGTATTATGTCATTCAATAAATCAAACAGGCATTATGCTTTGTTATGTAGAATAGTACTATATGGCAGCTATACTCTCCTTTTTTAAATTGTGGTTTATAAAGTAACAAGACTGAATAAGGTTAATATATTAAAGTATACTTGGACATTCCATTTCTTTTAATGGACATAACTAAAGCATGCTTTGGTAATTTGGCAAAAATATAAAAATAAAATAAAGTTAGTAACTATGCCAGAATACTATTATTACAATTAGCAATTTGATAAAAGAAGATGTGTCTTCCAAAAATTGCTCACAAAGACTAAAAAAAACCTTGAAGTTATTGCTCTTTACAGAACAGCAATTGAAGAAATACAGCAATATCACATACTTTTATTATGACTATAGCCTACAAAAGCTACCACCTCAGACACAAAATATACATCTAAAGGAAGGCACAGTCGCATTCTAAGGTCCAGAGTCAGACTAACCCTGGCCCCTCCCTCCATGGAGACTGGGAAAATATGTCTTTGTTGTTGATGATGATGTTGTTGTTTTAAGAAGAGTAGGACGACTGGGAAAGAGCGGAATTTAATATTCTCTGTACAACCTCTGAATTTTTGAGAAGCTGGAATACTTCAGGAAATTGAAGAATAGTTCAGGTAATTGAAGCAGGAGAAATATCTCTTTCAAGAGTTTTCTATCTTTATACAAACAGATAAAAATGTTTACCTAGGACTTGCACTAGATTGAATTTTTCTTCTTCGTGTTAAGTCAAATTCAGTGATATTTGGCTGGGCATAAAAAGTAAGATCTTCATGCCCAGCCAAATATCACTGATTGATTGATTATGTGCTATCAAGTTGGTGTTGACTCTTAGCTACTACATAGATAGAATTTCCCCATAACAATCTGTCCCTAACCTGGTCTTTCAGGTCCATCCATCTTGCTACTGAGTCATCCTCTTCTTTTCTTTCCTTCTACCTTTCCCAGGATTAGAGCCTTCTCTAGAGAGCTAAGTCTTCCCATAATGTGTCCAAAGTAGGATAATTTGAGCCTAGTCATTTGTGCCTTGTGAGAGAATTCTGGATTGATTTGTTCAATGATACATTGGTATATTTTCTGGGCTGTCCACGGTATTCTCAGGAGTCTTCTCCAACACCAAAGTTCAAAAGCATCAAGGCTTTTCCTATTCTGCTTTGTCAAAGTTCAACTTTCACTTCCATAGACTGTCACAAGGAATACCATGGTTTGCACTATTCTGATCTTTGTAGGTATAGACACTTCATGGCATCCAAATATCTTTTCCTTAATGGCCCCTTTACCAAGTGCTACTCTGCAGCGTATTCCTTGACTGCTTGTTCTTTTACTGTTGATAGTTGATCCTAAAAGGCAGAGCTATCTACCACTTCAATATCTTCATTATCAATTCTAATGCTGGCTGTTTTACCTGTTGTCATTAGTTTGGTCATTTTTATATTTAATTTTAGTCCCACTTTTTCACTATACTCCTTTACTTTTATTACTAGAGCTTGCAGATCCTGTGTATTTTCTGCTTTTAGAGTAGTGTCATCAGCATAGTGCAGGTTATTGCACTATGTTTTTTCATCCGATTTTAAAACCACACTCATCTTCCAATCCAGCTTTCCTTGATATATATTCAGCATATATATTGAATAAATAAAAGGAGAGTATGTCTCACTCCTTTGCCAACATGGAGTCAGTCTGTTTCACCATGCTCTGTCTGTACTGCGGCTTCCTGACCTGTATATAAGTTTCTCATGAGGACAATGAGATATTCTGGGATTCCTATTATCTAAGTACATTCCACAGCTTGACGTGATTGACACAACTGAAAGCCTTTCTATAATCAATGAAGCACATTGTGACTTCTTTTTGGTATTCTTTGGCTTTCTCAATTATCCAGCACGCATCAGCAATAACAGGTCATGTTCCTCAGCCTTTTCTAACCCCAGCTTGAACATCCGACATTTTTTTCCATGTAGGGTTTTAATCTGCACTGAATGATCCTAAGCATTATTTTGTTAGCATGTGAAATTAAGGATACAGTACGATAGATAGATAGATAGATAGATAGATAGATAGATAGATAGATAGATAGATAGATAGATAGATAGATAGAACTGGAATGTTTAGATTGACCTCTTCCAATTTGTTGGCCACTGTATCATTCTCCAGATTTGCTAGCATAGCCCAGTTACAACCTTTACTATTTCTTCCGTTGCCTGCCATATTTCTATAAGTATTCCATCAGTTCCTGTAGCCTTCCGACTAGGCAGCAACTGGAGTGCTGATCTAACTTTAGTAGCAGACATTCTTGTAAGTAGAGAATAACTTCTAAAGTATCTTCGATGTACAATATTTCAGTATCTCCTTTCATTTGATTTCCTTTGAATTGATTACTATCTGGCATATCAATTAGTGGTTGGAATCTCTTTCCAATTTCAGAAATTTTTTGGAAGATTTTCCTTGTTTTTCCATGTCTGTTTCCATCTTCAATGTCTTTACAGATGTTGTTGTAATACTGCTTTTTGTCTCTGAAGATTTTCCTTGTTTTTCCATGTCTGTTTCCATCTTCAATGTCTTTACAGATGTTGTTGTAATACTGCTTTTTGTCTCTTCTAATAGCTCTCTGAAACTCTTTGTTAAGTTCCTTTTTGAGATTTCTGTCCTTGGCTTAGGTTCTTTTCTCTTCTTGGTAATTTCCATGGTTTGTTCTGACATCCAGTTTGTTTTCTTCTGTTTCTTTGGTAGTTCTTTTTCACATTCATCCTTAATTACGTCTATTAATGAAGTTCAGGACTTCAAAGCAATTCCTGATGTTCTACTTGAAAATGGTGGATTCTATTGTGGAAACTGGTTGGCTTTCTTTTTCTTAACTTGGAACTTGCACAAAAGCAATTTGTGATATGTTCCACAGTCAGCACCTGGCCTTGTCTTTGCTGCTATATTTTTTATTTTATTTTTTATTTATTTATTAAATTTATATGTCGCCCATCTCCCCCAGAGGACAACTCTGAGCTCCTCCACCTCCTTTTAGCAATTATATAGTTAATTTGATTTCTATATTTGGTGATATCCATGTATAGAGGCATCATTCTGGTTGCTTGAAGACAGTGTTACCTATGAAGAAATCATTGGAGTGCAGAAATTGATAAGTTGGTCTCCTGCTTATAATCGGCTTTCTAAGCCATACAGTCCAACTACATTTTCCCCTTTCATGTTTCCAATTTTGGCAAGTTGGAGCATAAACTTGAATGACCATTATATTAAAGGGTTGTCCACGAAGTCTAATTGATATTATTCAGTCATTGATTGCATTGTAGCCAAGTAATGTTCTTGCTATATTCTTCCTAACTTGAAAAGGAACATGTTCCTTGTTTTTCATGTCCTGAGTAATAAACAGTATGATCTTCTGACTGAAAGTGCCCAATCCCAGTCTATCTCAATTTGCTGATGCCTAATATGTCAACTTTTAGTTGTTTCATTTAATCTTTCACTTTGCTGAGCTTCCCATGTTCATGCTTCTTATGTTCCATGTTCCCACTGTAATTCTGTGTTTGCAGATTCAGAATTTCTTTTCCTCTATGGCAACATCATCACTAAATGTTTCAAAGGCTATAATCTAGCCACATCATAAACACCATTAGTACTCTGAAAAATCCTCAGCACTTCCTCAGTGGCATGTTGAGTGCCATCTGACCTGAGGGCTCCATTATCCAGTATTATATTGTCAATGATTTATTATTTTCTTTCTATGTGGTTTTCCTGGTAAAAATACAGGAATGATTTACCATTGCCTTCTCCTGAACAGTATGAATTGTTGCCACAAAAGTAATCTTTTGCCTCCAGCACCTTCCTATATTACTGTTAACCAATATAGGTTTTTGCTTGCTTTAGCTGGGCAACTGGGATGACCTTCACGGCTTGGGTGACCCTGCTGGCATGCACTTCCAATGTTTCTTGCTCATCCCTCCCAGGAACACCCCACCACCATGAAAAGGCAGCACAGCAGGACTTGGGGAAGGCAAATATCATTGAACTTTGTAATATTGTAATCTGAAATACTGAATTGCACTATATCCCCATCTAACAGGGAAATTATGCCATTTGTATCAGACAGCAGCATTTTGTGGTCTGCCTGGGGCACTGAATTTTCTTTTCAATTTTTTTCTTTTAAGTTGCCAGCAATAGCATTGTGATTTGAATGCCTCTATAATTTATTTTTTATCAATTCTATTTATATTTTATTATCTGGAATTTCAAATAAAGTTCTTAAATAAAGTTTGGTTCTGTTTATCTCTTGTGAGGTTGGTCTATCTTCCAATGAGAGGAACAAGGGTTGAATGATCTAATTGCTTGCACCTACTCTACATAGGCAGGAGGATGCAGTATTGAAATTATTACTTCTTTCTTTCCTGCATTTGTACTTTTTAATTGCCAGAAAGGAATTTGCAGATCCCCATTACTGTCACATACAGGGGTTGGGAGAGGACACCAGGTGATGTGCCCCTGGAAGATAGCTGGTGGCAGTAGGAACTACTGAAACTATACCCCAAAGCAGGAGGTGAGGTTGGGACTGAAGACCCATGGGTCTTCAACCTTTCATTTTGGGCTCAGATATTCCACTGCAGTTTTTAAAAACATATTTGAAGATTATTTAATATCTCCACATCTTTTAATAAGCATACTCAGATATAAAAAGATGGACCAACTTTACAGCAGCAGTTTTTACCACTGCACTTAAAAGAATTTCAATATTAAATAATATATGGCTTAAGAAGGTATATCAGCCAGGAAATATGAAATTAGATCTGAAGCAATGTGAATCTAAAAATTAGTATTTATAGGTAATTTATTTTTCTATAGTCTTAGTAAAGAGAGCTAAGTTAAGGCACCAGGCTAGAAACCAGGGGATCATGAGTTCTTAGTCCCACCTTAGGTACAAAGCCAGCTGGGTGACTTTGAGCCAGTTACTTTCTCTCAGCCCTAGGAAGCAGGCAACGACAAACCACTTCCAAAAATCATGCCAAGAAAACTGCAGGGACTAGTCCAGGCAGTCACCAAGAGTCAACACTGACTCAAAGGCACCAAAAAAAAAAAAAGGCTTAGAAAAACCTACAAATAGGTAGTAGACTATTGCTGGAGATGCAAATTTCAAGGCATACTGCAATATTTTGTCTTTTTGCTTTAAATGTTATATTTAAATATATATTTAGCATCATATTTAAAAATAACAGAAGTAGAGTAAGCCAGCAAGGAAGAACAAAGTGATTAAATATTCAAGAAAGGCATAACTATAATGTACTAGGCCTAAATTATTTAAGTAATTACACTCTCATGATCAGCTATCTCAAGTATCAAACAATAGTTCAACATCTTAGAATCACTGTATTACTGTCATTATATTACAGTATTACCAAAAATCTAAGTGATTGTATTTTCTTTTAAAACTTGCAAGTTAAAATAAATGTTCATTATATCATTACTGGCTTTTCCAGTCTAGAAGTGGCAACATATTTCATATTATTTGTGAATCCATACATGCTTCCTCATGCAAAATTTATCTAACCGCTTCTTCCAGCTGAGGGAAAGCTGTAGGACACGATTAATTAGCACAGCATGTGCAATCACTTTGTTTAAGCATGCCTTGTCTGTTTCCATGGTTACACCACAGGAAGCCACACACTCTCTTTTGATAGTCAGGGTTCCTGATATTGGTAAATATGGGAACTTTTTAAATTTTAAAGTGAGAGTGAATGCAAAGTCAAAAGGTAATTAGAAAGATAATATAGTGAGCATATAATATTGTCAATGTTGGCCTGGATCTATATGGATAACTTTGTGACAATTCCATGAAGTGCCTTTCAGACCTTGCTCTTTCTTACAAATAAAAAGGTCACAGGAGGCATCCTGCTGCTATACCTCAATTCTTTACAGCAACAAGACAACAGTGAGCCAGTTGTAGAACTCAGCTAATATCACCTAATTGTCAAGCTGATCATGTGCCCAATACAAAACCTCAAGAAAATAATAGGTAAAGGATATGTGTTATTTATGTTTCACTTTGCATCAGTGCCACTACTTTTATTGCATACTCAAAGATGCTTAATGCTAATTAAATGTTTAAGTGTATTAACATTTAATACATTAAAAATGCAGTTAAATATATGTTTCTGTATTATCAATACCAGTTTACATGTTGAGTAGTGTTTCTTATCTGAGCTAATGTATGTATATACAACATGCAAGGGGTAGCTCATTAAACAAAATTAATGAATTTAAAATGAATATTATCTACCTTTGTAAGGTTATTTTTCAACATTAATGGAAGAAAGCTTAATCCCAGTTCCCGGGGAGTGACTTTGACTGGGAGTGACTCTTTCTATGATTTTTGAGAAATCACAGGTCAGGTATGCTGGCAGAGAATTGAAGAACAGCAGATGTCTTCATAAAGGGGAAAAAAGAAGGCCTGGTTAACTACAGACTGGTCTGTTTGATGCTGGTGAGAAAGACATTGGCAAAATGGGGAGTATCAGAGAGCAGCAGTTGCAGGTATTGGTATTGAGTATGTTTAGCTTGGAGAAAGGAACACTGCGGGGAGACATGATAGTTGTCTTCAAGTATCTGAAAGGCTGTAACATACAAGACAGGGCAGAATTGTTCAGAAGATATGACAAGATACTACAAGGAAGTAATTTAATTAGTTGGACATCAGGAAAAAATGTCCTAATATTCTATTATTAATGAGATCAAATAAATCATAATATGCCACAAATGACTGAGAATGTACCTATGCAAGCTCCTGAAAGAACTTGTACAGCACCAAATTTGCCTAATTCCGTATTTAATAGCATCCTATTATAATTAGTATGAAACTCCAAAAAAATAGGAAAAGATTGTGCTTATACATCTTCTCTTACTTAGAAATCTTCTTCTGGAACAGAGCCAACATGACTTGGGAAAAACAGTTTGCAAACAAAATGCTATACAGATAGTCCTCGTTTAGCAACTGCCTCAGAGAGCGATTGATCGCAAATACAACAGTAATAAATGATAATAAAAAAATCATTTTCTGACCACTGTACACATTTACACAACAAAAGCCTTCAGTGTGAAACTGATTAAGATCTGGTCAGTTTCAGGCAGCAGCTGCAAATGGGCCAGAGGGCTCTTATCAACTAATTAAGATCACAGAGCTGAGCTTGTTAACTTGTGGTTAGCACTTTTTAGGGAAGCACTGTGCTGAGAAGAAAAGCAGCTCAGGAAGAGATAGCTTGCTTAATCAATCTCTTCGCCCTGCGAGGGGACAAAAAAAGGAAAAAAAAATGGGTCAGGCACAGAACACTGTAGGAGAGAACTTTATCTGAATGAGATGGCAGCAACCAGTGATCTTTGCAGCATCTCTGTCACGTATTCACTTAGTGACCATTTCCCTTAACAACTAAGTTGCTGGAACCAACTGCAGTCACTAAAAGAGGACTACCTGTAATGCTGCAATCCTATATTCAGTCCAAGCTCAAAGTCTAAAACCTTTCAACTAATTCTAACAAGAATGCCTTTTTTATCAATACTTGTAATGTCCCAATTAATAAAGGCACGAAAATATATAGTTAATATAAGTGACTTTTCTTCTGTCTACTCACAATAATACAAGATGTTTGTAAACACAGAATGTCAAAATATTAGTTTTTTGTCAATGTTATCAACTGAATGAATAAGAATATAACATGTTCCATCAACTGCATATAGTATTTGTTTCATGAATAAAGTATTATTCACCCGTTATTATCTAAGATGCTACATGACTTTACCCCATGACTGACAGGTTTTTTATATTAACAACATTTTAGCAGTAAGTACATCATATGAACATTAGTAACATTTTTTTCCCACAAGTATGGGTGAAAGAGGTTTCTCAAGGATCTGCCGCAATGTCATTCAAATGAAGACTGAAAACTATTCATGAAGTGGGAGTTAACATAAACTCCATTTACTGTCACTGCATAAAACCAAATCAAGTTCATTTATGCTAGTGACAACTTTCATATCTATACTTCATGTAGATATAGCAATCAATTGCAATTTCTTTAACATCCATTATCTCAATTTAGCTCATTTACAATACAGTTTTATAGAGTCTTAGAATTTGCTTCCAGATATTAGGCTTGGGAAGAAAATCCTTTCAGTTGTTTCCATTCTTCACTAAATGAACTGACTGCACTGTAATGCTTTGCAATTTTTGCTACCAAATTCTATTTATTTATCTCTTTATGGTAATATTTGAAAAACTGAAGACAAAAATGATTGAAAACTTGACAAGTAACATAAAGAAACACTGCAAAATACAGATAGGGATTGTCTACCCTTTTTACACAGACTCAGTAACACTGGCAATGGGTGCACTGTTGGAAGACCTGAAGGACCAAGTTGGGGACAGAACAACCTGAAGAAACTCCATGTGGTCACTAATGGTCAACACCAATTTGATGGCACAAATCAGTATGAAAGGTATTTCAGTCTTTTGGATTTTGTTGGAATAGAAGGTGGGAGCATTAGGTATGTATGCTGCTTTAAGTTGACATACATACATACATACATAAAGGCTAAATCATAGAAATATGAAGTACTGCATTTTTACCTGTTCCATTTTCTTTACTGGTATGGTGGCCAAAATCAACTTAGAACCAAGAAGAGAATTGCTCAAGCCATCTCTCAACATTGCTCACATCATTATCAAATAATCTTGTAATTAATGGCTTTCCTACCAAAATCTGCCAGTTTCAACTCCCCAGTGTCACTGATCAGAAGATTTTGGGGTTTCAGATCCCTGTGCAAAATGTAACGTTGGTGGATGTACGAAAGTCCTCGCAGCAATTGAAATAAAAATAACTGAAAAAGAGGGGGGGAAACATGTTCATTAATATTTGTATGTAGGGCATTGCCTTCCTATATAAAGATCAGAATGCTTACATATGGTGAAACAATTTTATTAATATAGATATTATTTAAAACTAGGATTTTTAACTGAACCCACAGGAATTCACACACACACTTCACTGCATCCAACTGTATAACCCTGCTTTAACAATCCACAATAATTACAAACAAAAAATAAATCCTATCAAGTCACAGTTATATTCTATTTATTCACATAGTTTTACAGATTAGATGATAGCCTAAAGACAGGTGTGTATGCTTGCTAATTATAGGGAACAACAGCACATGGAAAGTAGAGATGTACAAGAACACATTCCTTACAAGAAAAAAATAGAGGAGTAAAAAGGGACTACACTCAAAGACATTTTAGCTGCAGCACGTCATTCAAGTCTTTATTTTGAAAACTCAGACCATGAACAAAGCTATTTTATTAATTTTTTCATCTGCAGTAGTTTTCAAAACTGAAAATGTTTGTGCATATATACACACACAGAGTACTGTGCAAAAGCTTTAGGCAGGTGTGAAAAAGTGCTGTAAAGTAAGAATGCTTTCAAAAATATATATTGTAACTATTTATGTTTATCAATTTACAAAATGCAAAGTGAGCAAACAGAAGAAAAACCCAAATCAA